TTATTCAATGTAGTTAAATGCATTTTATACAGATCTATATTTGCTTTCCTACTGAGTGAACATTCATGCCATGCTCAAATGTATAAAGCAGACATAGCATACAAACCAATTGAAAAAGCCATCTTAACAACTAAATCTGTCTTCCAACACCTCTAAAACTTATAATTAAGACCTGTTATATCATCCTCTTTAAATCCCAACATAAAGCCTAATTGTAAAATTTACAGTTCATCATTTTAAACGGGTTTTTATAACAAGCAGCTAATGGGGTCTCTGGAAAGTTATTATTCCACACTACTTACCCCTGTAAAGTTATTAGTTACTCTCATACTTGTGGTTTTGAACTAAATCAATTAACCAAAATGTATTATGTTTGTACATTAGATAAAGATAGGGTAGAAATTTCCAGCTTTGTCCTAAGCTAACCAGCTTCTAGCTTTTGTTGCACATACAGTCAATGGACATTTTGTTAGGTACACCTGTTCAGCTGCTTGCTAAAGTAAATATATAATCAGCCAATCAAATGGCAGCAGTTCAATACATTTGGGTATGTAGGCATGGTTAGGACGTCCTACTGAAGTTCAACTTGAGCATCAGAATTAGAAAGGAAGGTGATTTAAGTGACTTTGAACATGGGATTGCTGTTGGTGCCAGATGGGATATTGTGAGTATTTTAGAAACTGCTGATCTAATGGGATTTTTCCACACAGACATCTCTAGAGTTTAAAGAGAATGGTCCAAAAGAAAATGGATTATATTGCATCAGTAAGCCTTTCCTCTCAGTTCAAAGCAGCAACTCAAAGAATCACACATTAGATGGGCTACAGCAGCAGAAGACTGCATTAGGTCCTGTCAGCTAAAAACAGGAAACTGAGGCTGAAATTCATACAGGCTGAACAAAACTGGACAATAGAAAATTGGAAAAATGATGCCTGGTCTGATGAGTTTTGACTTTTAATGCAACATCCACATGGTTGGATCTGAATTTAATATAAGATGAAAGCATGGGTCCATCCTGCATTGTCTCAACGGTTCAGTGGGGAATATTCTTGGCACACTTTATACTGTTAAAATGCCACAGCCCACTTGGGTATTATTGCTGACCATGTCCATCCCTTTATGATAAATGGACTGGTTCTCATATAATGCACTTCTACTCTACTGGAGCGCTCAAAGTGCTTTATGACCAAAGTGTACACATCTGCTGATGGCCAACTCCAACAGGATATTACAGCATATTACAAAGTTCAAATACTCTTAAATTGGGTTTTATGACAGTGAGGTCACTGTATTCAGATTAGCTCCACAGTCACCAGATCTCAGTCCAACAGAGCACCTTTTGGATGAGGTTGGAACAGGAGATTTGAATCACGGATGACAAACCTGCAACAACTGTGACACTATTGTGTCACCATAGACCGAAATCTCTGAGAAATGTTTACAGCACTTTGTTGAATCTATGTCACAAAGAATGGAGGGCAGTTCAGAAGGGCAGTTCTGAAGTCCAAAGGAGGTCTGACATTGTACTAGCAAGGTGTACCTGATATAGTGTCCAGTGAGTATACATCAAGCCTGAAGAAGGAGCAATATTCTCATTACAGTAAAATGACTGCTTCAGTGGTAACATTACAGCAGGTCACTCCTCCCCACTTTGATAGTTTGACATTCATTTCATCCCGGGATTACATTTTCTCGCTTGATAAAGAATAAATGAGTCGTCCACTTATTGCCGCAACATTGTGACAAGCACCCTCTCTGGCAGTATTTGCAATGGATGACTGCTCTGTGTATAGAAATATGGAAATAAAGGTTCAGTGAAGGAGTGTGTAAATGCATATAAGAGTGTGTTGTCAGTGGTGTCAAAAAACGACACCGTTCCCTTGTTGTAATCGAGCTGAACTTTGACCTGCTTAGGTGTTCTAGAAACTGTCAGCGGGCTGGGTGGGGAGGTCATTGCTCTCAGGTCTCCATCCCGGAAACATAAAGTCCAGAAGCCATTCTTGGGCCGGGCGGAGATCTCTGTGTTTCTCGGTACAGACATGGAGGCAACACCCAGGAGCCAATCATGATTACTTCCTGTTTCCACAACCCAGTGGTGACTTCCTGAGCCTAGTGCGGTCATGCCTACCACTTCAGCGCTCATATGGAAGCGCTCTGGGTTGTCAGGGCATACACTGGGCTGCTTTGAGTAGTGCAGGGAAGTGAGATCGTCAGACAGGATGAGGCAAGGGTGTGCTGTGTTTGGATCTAAGGTTATGGGAGCTAAAAGACAGGAAATGTGCCAAAAACAATGATCTATTAATATTTTGTTGTGCAATTCTTAGGTAAAAGTGAATAATAATATTTAGGTATACTTACTATAATCAACATGGTCCAGGATTTTTTCCCAGACTCTGTACTTGAGGTTGTAGAGGTGTTTAGTCACGTCAATCAGCAGCCCAGACATGTTCTCTGAACCAAGCACTATGCTTTTACATCTGTGATAACAACAGATGTCTTACACTGA